GTGTTTCAGCAACACCATTGACCTAGCATCCACAAATTCATGGGTAAAAGCAGAAGTGTTGCTGCCTTCAGGAGGAGGGAGTCATGAGGGCCCCATCTTGTTGACTTGGCCCCATGCAGACATCAAGACTGAGTGAAGAAGTCAGTTGGTCCGTAACACAGGAAGATATATAGACTCCTGAGTTTGCAGCTGATGTCCATCTGGACCTAGCAACTGATGACTGAAGATAAGCTGACCAGAACCCAAGCAGACAAAGATAATGTGTTTCATGCTGTGAGCTACTGTTGGTTGCTGCCACCTGATCGTATGTTCTTGACTGACTTTGCTTATGGATACAGAAGCTAAATGTACTAACTGGACCAGAAGGTTGCACAGAGAAAGGAGCATGCTTATTCCTCCAGAGTACTGGTTTGACAGGAACAGGAAAATCAGAAATTGACTATCTAAAATAGGGGAGATCAAAGAATGAGACATGAAGTTTCTGATTTGCATATTTCCATAAAAATAGTTCTTAGTATGATTGTAAGGGGAAATCTGATTATCCAAGTATGAGGATGATGGCAAGAAAAGCCAAGGGGTGAACTCTGGGTCGCTAAGATGTCAGATGTCTTTCCTATCTAATCATTAACTGTTCATTTTGCGCTTAAGTAATTATTGTATAAGAAGAGAAGATTAGGTTGGGACCCAAGCCTCACCCTACTTACACAAGCTCGTGGGACCTCAGCACTAGGCTCTTTTTCTTGTGGAACACTTGTCTGTGACACAGCATCCAGCATGTCTCGCCCACAGTCACCAGTCAGCTGTGCCACAACAGTCAGTCTACGAGACCCGGACCCACTGCTCACTCGTCTCCACACCAACAGCCTACATCACCCACATGTGCCAGACAGCAGAGCAAAAATTATAATCTACAAGATACTGGCCCTTCATTTACCAGTTTCTGCAAAACCAACCTACACACCTATTGTCACAGGAGTCGTTCTCCTGATGTGTCTAAATATCTGGGTTAATTATCAAACCCAAGGGCCACAGAGGAACTGGGAAAATGAGCTGTGAGTGGAGCTGTTAATATTAGAAATTATGGACTCATACAGCTGGTTAAGCATTTGGGACTATGTTAACTTGTGACTTCTTATAATAGTCTACTAATAGTGGTTGCTGTGACACTAAACACTGTTGACCCTGATGTGCCAAATGTGATAATGTTTACCCATGGTGGACAGCGTTTGATGGAGCTTCCCGATTAAAACAAGCTTGGAAGCAGGAGCGGCATCCACTACCAAAATGGCCTGCCTCCAGAAACTCTACGAACAGTGCTCAGGTCTTTCATTCATAGGGTCACTATGAGTCGCCTATGACTCAACGGCACCTAACAACAACAATCTTAGCAAGATGAATGATAAAAACACAACTGAATTTGCTAGCAGGCGTCATCCAACAAAACAGATAAAGTACATTTTATAACTACTGGAACAGCAGGACTATACCTCTTCCTAAAGGAGTGCTGTTTCTATGCTAATCAGGGATACTTCTAAAGAGAGAACAATCTAAATCTCTTAAACCTATCAGCAACGTTTTAAGTCTTGAGGTTCCTAGCTTAGACACAGAGTTAAGCATCATAGATGTTCCTCTTTCTAGTGCCAGTCATAATAACTTGCCTGTTATTAGTTTTTGAACCCTCTTTGTCTAAACTATTGATGAAGTTTATGTCTTCCCAGCTTTAAGCATTCCATGCTATGCAAATGGCTCTCCAATGATGTTATCTTATTTAAACCCTGCTCCCAAACCCAATGCTCTCACACATACCACAGTAGCCATAACTTTTAAAAACCCATAGATGTAGGGCCATGGAGAGACTCAGAGCCCCTGCAGACAAAAGAATGCTTACCTCTATCATGAAGCAGCTAGAGCAACCATCACCTACAACTCTAAAATATTTTGGGTGGCTCAACTGTCTCTCAGGGGGAAATGTTAGGGTTGGTTAAGCTTGGCAAAAAGAGGCAGAATCCATACTGGTCAATTAGAGACAAGGATAAATGGGGGTGCTGGAAGCTGGCCCTGGCCAACCACAGCCAAGAAACTCTTGACCTGTGTAGAGTTTTAGGCACATAACTGATCCAATAGGTCCAGCCTTAAGCCCAGAAGCATAGCCAACTGTGGAGTCAATCCATTCTATTAAGCCACACAGCACTTGGCGAAGCAGTTTTCCCAATACACTGGAGCAGTCCCTTCTGTCCTCTGGGATGTATCTTTTCTAATAAAACTTTTTTTTTCACCTACATTCTGTCTCCTCACCTTCCCATGCCTTCTACCATGTACTCTAACAAAGATTGGACCTATATTGGGATTATTATGTCCAAGCAAAACTAGGCTGAGACCTTTCTGTTGTCTTCCACCCAGCGCAACTCTTGGTCCAGGCAAGAGGCGCTGAATTCAGGTATTTCCTGCACAAAACAAAGAAGACTCTGAACAGTCTCATGAAGGAGACCCTGCACAGACAGCCTCGTCCACAGCGGGGAGGGGAAGACCTGCACAGACAGCCTCGTCCACAGCGGGGAAGACCTACACAGCCTCATTCACTTGACGGAGACCCAACCTCATCCATGCTGGGGGAAAAATACACAGGATCATTCACATGACAAAAACCCCGCACAGCCTCGTTCTCGTGAGAAGACCCTGTAGCGCCTCTTCCGTGGTGCGGAGACCCTCACAGTCTTGTTCATATGAGGGAGACTCCACACAGTCTTGTTCACATGATCCAGGAAGCATCAACAGAAGACAGAAGGAAAACATGGAACCATTGTACCAATAAGAATTGGCTGACACAGAACCATTTCAGAAAATTGCATATGATAAAGAATCAATGGCAACAAATTAAGTTCTAGCTGCTCTGAAAGAATGGGTAAAAAAAAAAAAATTAGGCCCCAGGAATTGCTAGAATACCAACTGACACATTTATTTCAACAAACAGACACAGCCCTGGACGTGCTCACCAGGTTGTGCCAAGAAATTTGGAGGACAGTTACCTGGCCAACAGACTGGAAGAGATCCACATTACCCTAAAAAAGCGATCCAACAGAACGTGGACATTATCTAACAACATTACAAATATCGCATGCAAGCAAAATTTTGCTGAAGATTATCCAAAAATAGCTAGAACCACACATCAACAGAAAACTGCCAAAAATACAAACTGAGTTTAGAAGAGGTCATGGCTTTAAGGATAGCAATACTAATGTCAGATGGATCTTGGCGGAAACACACGAGAAGGTTGTCTATTTGTGTTTTATTTACTATGCAAAAGCATTTGACTGTGTTTATCACAATAAACTGTAACAAACATTGAGAAGAATGGGAATCCCACAACACTTGATTGTGCTCATGTGAAACCTGTATATAAAACAAGAAGCTATTGTCCAAAAAGAGCAAGGGACCACTGTCTGGCTCAAAATCAAGAAAGGAGTGCATCAGGGCTATGTCTTTTCTTCATACCTTTTCAATATGCTGATCATTCAAGAGGCTGAACTTTACTTAAGAATGTGGCATTCAACATCCTGCTTTATGCAGACAACACAACCTTGTTCACTAAAACTGAGGAGGACTTGAGACATTTGTTGCAGAAGATCAAGGACTTTAGCCTTCAATATAGACTGCATTTAACTTCAAGAAAACAAAGATCTTCACCACTGGGCACAGGTAGTACCAGGATAGATAAAGAAAAGACTGAAGTTGGTAATTATTTCATCTTGCCCAAATTCACAATCAAAACCCTTGGCACCAGCAATCAGGAAATCAAAAGACAAGTTCTTTTGGGGAAAACTACTATCAAGGATGTCTCCAGAGTGCTAAAGAGCAAAGATGTCAATCTAGAGGCCTAATAAAGGCCATAGTCTCCTCAATTGTTTGCTAAGCATCTGAGAGCTGGATAATGACTAAGAAATACAGAAGAATTTATGTCTTTTGAGTTGTGGTGCTGAAGAACATGTGGCCTACCAAGAGAACAAACAGGTCTGCCCTGGAGAAGGTGAAACAAGGTTGTTCCTTAGAAGCAAGGATTTTTACACTAATGTATCTCACATACTTGGGGCACACTGTCAGGAGAGGCCAGCCCTTGCAGGGTGGGGGTGTCAGTGCAGTAGGGATGTGAAGGATTGATACAGTGACTGTGTCCCTTGGGTCATAGGGTCACTATGAGTTGCAGTCGACACAACAGCACACAGCAACACCACTACCACGAACAGTAATGGTCTCAGATAACACCAGCTAAACACACTGTGAACAGACAACAATGTCACCTGGCTGGCCAGGTCCCACCACCAGCCCCTGACCACAGTGTGAGGGCTAACGGCGGACTTCAGGTCTGGTCTGGCTGTCAGGGATGATGCCGTGGTCTGACGTGATCAGTCCTGATCTGATAGAGGATTAGTACGGGATGGTCACAGCCCTCAGCCAACACAGGAGAGAATACCTGGGAGAATCTGGCAGCAGCTGGGCACTTGGACTCTCAAGCAAAGCTCCACCTGGATCCTGCATCCAACTTGTCGCCAACTCAGCTACAGTTCAGGAAAGGAAGCAGCGTCTCCAGTGGACTTGGGTCAGCACATGCCGTACTGCCTGCTGTTCTGAGCTGCCTCAGCCTCTGCAGCCACGTGAGTCAGAAGCTTCTAGCCTGACATCAGGTCCACAGACCTGAGCCTAGCCAACCTCTACAAGCATATGGCCATTTCCTCCAGATAAATATCTCAACAGATAGACTGGTAGAAGCTTTTTCATCTCTAGAGAGTCCAGCCAATAATGTAGGTCAGGCAACACTGGGATACACTGGCTCCCTTTCTGGCTGCAAAACCCCTTCCAATAATCTAGAAAACGAGTCACAAGCTCTGCTCAGCAGCCTGGTAATGCATTATGAAATTCTGCCTAGTGTTTTTAAGTGAAACCCTCTATTCTTAGACAAGTAATTATGGAAGCAGAAAGCACAGGCTTACAAGAGGAGCTGTTACCTTTTGATCTCCTCTTTGCAGGTGTCAATGTGATACTTCAGGAGGTGAAACTCCGGGCCAGACGATACCAACAGAAATGCGTCCAGGTAATAAAACTGTGCAAACTCTAACGGCTTAGGGAACATCTCTCTGGCCTGCAATGGAAAGCAGTGTACGTGAGCAGTACGATCCAAGTTAACAAATCACCGTTGCTCTCTAGACCAGCAGGTGTTCATCTCAGCTGCCACTTGCTGTAGAGTGGAAGTGTCCTTGTATATCTGAATCCCAGTGCTTATTTGGAACCAATGTCTACTTAAGATGTTAGGATAAAAAGGATGCTCTTCTAAAGCTGTGCTTCGATTCCTAGCTCTAAGAAAATGTCTGCATACACCCTGAGTACCAAGCATTTTATTCAATCTGAAATGGAAAAGATATTGGTATTTAAAAAGATCATTTAAAGGACCTGTGAGAAATTACAGCCTCAGAGTCAGCTCGACAGAAAAAGGCTGGGTGGTTAAGTTAAATGTTTTCTGAGGCCTTTCCTCTCAAGCCTGGTTCTAGCAATGAAACCAGGAGGCTAAGATGTAGGTGCTCTGAACAACTCTGAGCAAGCTGCCTCCTCCAATGCCGAGGCCCCGGCCCAGGTCCCGACTCCCTGAGCCCTTATCAGGACACCACTGGACCAGCTACCTCTGCAGCGTGTGCCCCTCCAGCTACTGGTCAGGGTTGACCTCTGGCCCTACCTCTCCGGCCACATGCCATCATCTTCATCCACGCAGGTCCCACAAGCTTATTAAAGCCAGGAGGAAAAATGAGCACATGCTGGAACCTGCTCACCTGTGACCCTCAGGAAAGCCTGTGGGGAAGCCCACGTGGGGCACTGGCACCTGCTCACCTGTGACCCTCAGGGAAGCCTGTGCGGAAGCCCACGTGGGGCAGCTCATACGGATCAGTCCCTGAGCAAGAATCCGTGTGGCACCTTGCTAACCGGCACACCACCTCCATCAGGGACCAAACATTTCAAGAAGTTCTGATTATTCTGAAAGGTCCCGTGCGGCTGGGAGAGAGACTGAGACCAGCTAGCCCTAAAAGCAGGACCTTCCGATGTGGAAAAATTGTTCACTGCAGAGCAGGAAGCACAAGTAATCGTAGGCTCACCCTGCTGACTGGATACCCCAGCACTGCTTTCCTTCACCAAAACATCATGCTCCGCTCCTTCTCCCTGTGCCTGCTACGAACACTGCCATTGTAAAGCATACGGACCTGCTTGGAGGTGTGGTTGTGAATACTCTACTGCTGACCAAAAGGTGAGTGGTTCAAAGCCACCATCTGCTGCAAGGAAGGAAGGTGGTGTGGCTGCTTCCCAAAGGGCACCTGGTGGGAACCCTTTGAGGCAGGTGTGCGTGTTGTACAGCACCCTGACAAGTCAGTCAACTCACAGCAAGGTCTGGGTCTTGCTTTACTATCAAATCACCATCGAGCTATCTGTAGAAGTGCTTGACGATATTTGGCAATTCTGTACCACATACGTATCCACATTAGCATATGCACGTGTGTGTCAGCATGCATTTCATGTGTTCATGCACACTGTGCCCTTGCACATTGGTGTGTGACTGTGGCTGTCACTCAGTGACCCCGTGTACAACAGCTGCTCTGCGGGGTTTCCGAGGCTGCTCTGCAGGGCTTCTCCCCCAGCAGACAGCCAGCCTTTCTCCTAAAGTTCCCAAGTGGGTTTCAAGTGAAAACTGTTCAGCTGGGAGTGGAAGTGGCCGGCATTTACACCCCAGGGACTCTCTGAATGCAGACTCGAACCTCCAGGCACATATTTACTCCGCTGTAATCAATCATGCCCTAGGGTAACAGCTAAAGCTCTCAAGACATGAGTTTAAAAATAAGGAGCTCTGGGGATGTGGTTGGTCTACAGTGTGCAGTGCTGCTCACCAAGGTCCAGTTTCTACCGGTTCAAATCCAGCAGCAGCTACTTGGGAGAAGGAGGGTCGGGCTCTTCCCATTTACATTTATAGCCTAAAACCCCAAAGGACAGCTGCTGTGAGTCACGACAGCCTTGACTGAGTGACAGGAACAGACCTGCTCAATCGCTAATCAATGATGTACCAGGGCACAGAGCCTGACTGGCTCAGCCTGTGCACTGACCCACAGGCCAGCACCCATTTGACCCATAATCGATGGAGCACGGGCCACAGAGTCAGCATGGTCTGACCCACGCACTGACCTACCGATCGGAAAATACTTGATCACAGCCAACCCTGCGCCGAGGCACAAGGAAGATGGGCCTGACAGGCCGGCGCAGGCAGGGCTGCTTACCAGGATCACTGGACGAGTTGGTCTGCAGGCTGACCACAGCCTCAGGCTCCTGTCTTGGGAGGCAGACACCAGCCACTCTCCTCCTCGACTCCAGCCAACCGCAGACACAGACCCATCGTGACCTGGCGGGGGACAGTAGACAAGGCAGCTGGAAAGGAGGAGCACGTGCTTCTCAGATGAATAGAGAGCTCCCGTCAGTGACAAGTACTGTCTCTCCACGGTGATGCTGGTCATGTGCCACAGACTGCAGGGATGCTGCCCACACTGTTGCTGTTAGGTGCCACTGAATCAAGTGCGACTCATAGCGACCCTAAGAACAACAGGCCTAAACCCTTTCCTCTCCTATGCCATCACTGTCCAAAAAACCTCTGTGCAACCACCACCCAAGCAGATACATGCACATCCATGTTTATTGCGGCTTTGTTCACGATAGCAGAGAGTTGGAAACAACCTAAGTGCCCATCAACAAACTAATGGATAGAGAAGCTGTGGTATATTCACACAATGGAATACTACGCTGCATTGAAAAACAAGGAACTCATGCAATATTATTCAAAATGGGTGACCCTGGAGGACATTATGCTGAGTGAAGTATCTCAGTCACAAAAGGACAAATACTGCATAGTGCCACTGTTGTAAAACAGGACTGACATCGGGGTTGGGGGAAGACTGAGAAAGATGGGATAAATTATGTATACTGCATTGAAACAGGTATTAGTGTCATGACAGGAAGAACAAAGGTTGCATAGTGGAGTGGACTTGGGGAAGGAGGGTATACCAAATGGGGGAATTGTATACCAATGAAAGAATTTTACTTTTCAAAGAGAAGAGCAGCCTGGTGGGGGGAGGGGTGGGCATGGAGAAATGTGCAACAATGAATGAATGGAAATCCAAAGTCTCTGTAACTTTTCATTAAAATTAATAAGAAACTTAAAAAATATTCATGCAGTGAGAATCTTTGTCTTCTCTATGTTGAGCTTCAATTCAAACTGAAGAATGCAATCCTTAACTTTCTGCAGCAAACACCTCAGGTGCTCCATAGTTTCAGCAAGCAGGATTGTGTCATTTGCATAATGCAGGTCGTTGAGTCTTCCTCCAATCCTGATGCCACATTCTTCTTCAGAAAGTCTAGCTTCCCAAATGATCTGTTCTGAATGTAGATGGAAAAGATATGAAGACAGGATACATCCCTGATGCACACCTTTCCTGATTTTGAACCACACAGTGTTTCTTTGCTTTGGTCTGACCACTGCTTCTTGGTCTGAATATAGGTTTCACATGAGTACAATCAAGTGTTCTGGGATTTCCATTCTTCTCAGAGTCGGCCACAATTCCATAATATATACAGTACTCTTCCCCAACCGTCAAATAGTGCCAAAAAGTCTGGAAGACAACCACCTGGTCAACTGACTGGAAGAGATAGATATTTGTTCCCATTACAAAGAAAGGTGACCCAACCGATTGTGGAAATGGTTGAACAATATCGTTAATATCACATGCAAGAAAGATGCTGCTGAAAATTATCCAAAAACGACTGGAACAGCACATCAACTAGAACTGCCAGATGTGCATGCTGGGTTTAGAAGAGCCTGTGGTATTCTAGCTAATGTTAGATGGATCTTGGCTGAAAGCAGAGAGTACCAGAGGAATGTCTATCTGTGCTTCATTGACTATGCAAAAGCTTTTGACTGTGTGGATCACAAGCAGCTGTGGCTGACTCTGAGAAGAAGGGGAATCCCAGAACACTTGATTGTGAAATCTACATTCAGACCAAGAAGCAGTGGTTGGTCAGAACAAATAAACACTGCGTGATTCAAAATCAGGAAAGGTGTGCATCAGGGATTATCATGTCTCCGTATCTTTTCCATCTACATGCAGAACAAATCATCAGGGAGGCTGGGTTCTTTGAGGAGGTGTGTAGCATCAGGATAGGAGGAAGACTCATCAACAACCTGTGTTATGCAGATGACACAACCCTGCTTGCTGAAACTCAGGAGAACCTGAAGTACTTGCTGCAGAAGGTCAAGGATTGTAGTCTTCAATATGGATTGAAGCTCATCGAGAAAATAAGGGTTCTCACCACTGGGCCAACTGGTAGCATCATGATAGAAGGTGAAGATATTGAGATTGTTAACAGCTTTAGTTTACTTGGCTCCACAATCAACACTCATGGTACCAGCAGCCAGGAAATCATAAAGCAAAGTGCATTGGAGTCTGCTGTCAGGGACCTCTCCAGAGTATTGATGAGCAACTATGTCAGTCTGGAGACTAAGGTGCGCCTAATCCAGGCCACAGTCTTCACAATTACTTGCTATGCATCAGAAAGCTGGACAATGACTAGGGATGATAGAAAAAGAATTGATGCCTGTGAGCTGTGGTTCTAGAAAAGAATATTGAATATACCATGGACTGCTAAGAGAACAAACAAGTTCACCCTAGTGAGGGTGAAACCAGATTGTGTTGCAGACTGAGGGTAAAGTAATAATGAGACAGACAACCAAGAATGAGCTGAGAGAGTAAAGACAGGGGCCAGCAGTCCTGACGACTGAAGCGCCCAAGCCCTGCCTCTCTGTGTATTTATTGAGAGTCATCAGGAAGGTAAACAAAGGATAATCACAAGGGAGTAGAAAAAAAACCAAAAACAAATGTTCATGGGGAAGTCTTCTGTAGATAAGGTGGAGCTCTTCTCTATTGTTTACCTTAAGCTAATCTCAGGAGGGAGGACTTCAGTAAATACAAACTAAGAACATGTTGACTCTTAAGGAATGCCTTAGTGCCTCAGGGTGAACTCCAGCTTGTATGACGCCTCCCTTATATCCTGATAGAGCATTTGGTTTATTATGAATATTAAATTTGATATTCGGCTTCCCAGAAGTTTGCTCCATGGAGGCAAGGATTTTGAAGCTTTGTCTGACACACTTTGGGCATGTTGCAAGGAAGGACCAGTTCTTGGAGAGGGACGTCATGCTTGGGAGGGTGGAGGGACAGCACAGGAGAGGAAGACCCTCGATGAGATGGGTTAACACAGTGACTAGGAAAATGGGGTAGGTGCGTCAGGGACAAGGTTGGCACAAGATCAAGTAGGGTTCAGGGCTGTTGTACAAAGGGTCACTATGAGTTGCAAGTGACTTGACAACACACAACAACAACTTCCCCAGCACCACAATTCAAAGGTATGGATCCTTCTGTCACCCTTGGTCATTGTCCAGCTCTCTGACGTATCCATTGCTTGCATGAGGCACCCCTTAGTGGATCTGACTGCTGTCTGACTATTGATATCTGGATGACTGTTACTCAAATTTACATCATGACCACTAATGCTAAAAGTCAAGATACTGAGGGCTTCTACGAACTTCTGAAGACTGAAACGGATCTAACATGCAAGGAAAATGCACTGATAATAACTGGTCATAGGAATGCATAAGTTATAAAGAAAGGACCTCTTGGTGGTGGTACACGGGAACTGATACTTACAAACTGCATGTTCATCTGTAACTTCATATAACATAACAGTGCTTGTTGTTGTTATTGTTGTTGTTACGTGCCATCGAGTTGCTTTGCGACTCATAGCGACCTAGGTCCAAGAACACTAAACCCTGCTCTATCCTGTGCCAACCTCATTCTCTCTGACACACCTACTCTCACTACCCCAATCACTGAATGAGGGCCTTCCTCTCCTGCGCTGTCCCTCCACCCTACCAAACATGATGTTGCTCTCCAAGGACTGGTTCTTCCTTGCAACATGCCCAAAATAAGTCAGACAAAGCTTCAGAATCCTTGGCTCACCAGGACAAACCTGTTTGTTTCTCTAGCAGTCCATGGTATATTCTACACTCTTGTCCAGCACAACTCAAAGGCATCAATTCTCTATCATCCCTAATGACTGTCCAGCTCTCTGATGCATAGCACACAATTGTGAAGACTATCACCCAGATACGGTGCACCTTAGTCTCTAGCCTGACATCATTGCTCTTCAATACTCTGGAGAAATTCCTGACAGCTGACTTTCCCAATACAATTCGTCTTTTGATTTCCTGGCAGTTGTTACCAAGAGTGTTGCCTGTGGAGCCAAGCAAACTAAAACTATTAACTATCTCAATATCTTCACCATCCATCCTGATGCTGCCAATAGGCCCAGTGGTGAGAATCTTTGTTCTCTTGATGTTGAGCTTGAATCTATATTGAAGGCTTCAGTCGTTGACCTTCTTCAGCAAGCGCTTCAGGTCCTCCTCTGTTTCAGCAAGCAGGGTTGTGTCATCTGCATAACACAGGGTGTTGATGAATCTTCCACCAATCCTGACGCCACATTTCTCTTCATAGAACCCAGCCTCCCAGATGATCTGTTCTGCATACAGGTTGAAAAGATAAGGAAACAGAAGACATATCTGGTGGACACCCTTCCCAATTTTGAACCATGCAGTGTCTCCTTGCTCTGTTCTAATGACTGCCTCTTGGTCCAAGTATAGGTTTCACATAAGCACAATCAAATGTTCTGGGATTCTCCTTAGAGTCAGCCACAGCTTGTTGTGATCCACACGGTCAAAAGCCTTTGCACAGTCAATGAAGCACAGATAGACATTCTTCTGGTATTCTCTGCTTTCAGCCAAGATCCATCTAACATTAGCTAGAATACCACAGGCTCCTCTAAACCCAGCCTGCACAACTGGCAGTTCTCTCTGATGTGCTGTTCCAGTCGTTTTTGGATAATTTTCAGCAGATATGAATGATATTGTTCAATCATTTCCACACTCTGTTGGGTCACCTTCCTTTGTAATGGGAACAAATACCTATCTCTTCCAGTCAGTTGGCCAGCTGGCTGTCCTCCAGATTTCTTGGCACAACTGTTGACATGTCCAGACAGGACCAACCACACATACCTGGAGCTCCATGGTTATTTTTCCCCTTTCATTTACACACCATGGTTAACTCTAAGGAGAACAGTCTCCAGAAGGCTCCCTGCTGGCTGGACTGTCCTCTGCAGGTCTCAGGAGGTGGACACCTTACATCTGCACAATCTATCTGTCAGAAGGCCAGGAGAAGGGTGAACACCAGGGGAGACCCATCAATGAGTCATCACTGCTCGGCCGCACCACCCAGGAGCATCAAGGCAACCAAACAGCTC